GAGCCATACCAAGGGAATTATCATCAATAAGAACAACGTTAGCATCTGTAATTTACTGACCACCTTCTATGTGTCAGGCATTGTACTAAACTAGACATCCGCTGTCTTAGTTAACACATCTCCAAAAGTTATGGGTCATAGGAACGATGACCTTCATTTGGAGCTTGGCACACAGTAGGTGTCTGACACATAGTAGGTGCCCAGTACATTTTCAACAAATGAATAATGTAGTAATTCTATGAAGCCAATATTACTATCTTTATCTAGAAAAATGAACAAGGAAATTGATGGTCAGAGAGGTTACACGGCTGGTACATTCCAGGGCACCCGAGTTCTGGACCCAGCTCTGCTATGGGCTGGGGGGTCACAGAGAAGGGCAGGGCCCTCTGCCTTCAGGAAGCTTGCCATCTAATTGGCCTCATCCACGCCCTTCCTGTCTTCAAATACCGCTCCCAGGGGGCCTGCCAGGGATGGCTATTTGTGGCTCAGGGAGGAGGTCCAGTGAAGATCCCCTCATAAATTATAGAGAGAGACACATATGGGTCAGGATTGGGGAATTCAGTGCACGAGGGATCCCCAGGAATCTCGCTCGGCTTAGTGTGGGATTGTCCTTCTCTTCCCCAGGAGAGTGGCTGACGCAGGCAGCGGGCGCTTGCTGAGCTCCCATAATGAGCTCCCGGGGCGTCTCCTGGTCCTGCAGAAGACGCTCATGTTGTCCCAGCCCCGGCCGCGCACTGTGCTCCATTTCCCACAGCTGGAGCCCTTAGCCCTGACCACTGGCTGCTCGGAGACGGGCGTCCTCATCTCTCAACTGAGGGCTGTTTTATCTTGTACACCCCAGCACCGGATGAGTCAGCTTTGAACAGGGCTGTGCATGCTGCGGCTTTGAGATCCAGTCCTGCTCCAGGCTCTGCGGACCCCTCAGGTACGGTCCAAGCGTACTGAACCTTCTCTTGGCGATGTGGTCATGAATGGCAGCGATGCCCCTTCTCTGAATGGTCTCCACCATTTGCTTTTGAGTTCTTGAGCCTATTGTTTCAGCATTCCATCCTCTTTGTCGCTGTCAGAATGTCACTTTACCGTCCTTAGCTTCCGACTGCCCCTAGCAGTCTCTCCCTCCTAACACACTTCTTCGAATCTGTGAGTTGTTAGGCTTGGCTGTGCTCTCAGCCACCCGGCAGGAAGGGAGGGCCAGAGGCCTTCCTTCTATGAACAAGGTGCACGAGCTGTGATGGATGGACGGGGAGCTACGGGTTCGGGCTGTTGGATGACTTGGTTTGATTGCTTGCAGGCCGTGGAGAGTGGAGGTTATCAGAAGTCAGTTCTCCATGGGCGAGAGGCCACTGCAGGCCTTTCTGTGTACTGACCCAGAAGGACTGGACAAATACTTGCTTCATGGGGTGTGTGAGAGCTTGCTCCTCTTCCGGCCCCTCCTCTGCCTCGCTCTCCCCTCTGCAGCACAGCAGCCCAGCCGTGGGGGTGGGAGGAGGCAGCTCGGCAAGGCAGCCCAGCGGCAGGATGCGAGCCCGCTGCTGACAGAGTGTCTGGCCTCAAATTACACCGCATCAGAGCCCGGGCATAAAATTAGCAGCAGTGTTCTGGGTATGAGGAGCCAGAGAAATATCCGTATTCAGCAGAACCACGGGCGGGGACAGAAGAAAGGGAGAGAAGGAGCCGAGGAGGGGAAGAGCTGGCCCACGGCACGCAGGCCCCGGCCCTTGCCTGGACAACCTCATCCCTCGCTGCAGAGGTGGCTGCACAGTGGCTGAGTCAGGGCCACAGGAGGCTTCTTGGGGAAGAGGGGGCTGAGGAACCGGAAGGCAAGGCCTTGAGAAATCAGGAAGGTGAACAAGAGGGCTTGACCTACCCGAAACACAGACACACACACACACACACACACACACACACACACTGAAGACTATGAACAGGAATAAGAAGTTTCCACGAGTCTAGGCACTTTTCACTCATTTTTCTCAATTCTCACTACAACCCCCTTCAGGAATCCTGTTTTACAGATGAGTAAAGAAAGGATCCAAAGGGACATAGGAGCTTGCCCAAGTTCATGAGTCATAAAGGCACTCCTGTTTGTGGGCCCACTTAGATCCTAGCACCTGCCTCTGTCCTCTCACGCTCGTGATGTCACTACCACACCCATCGCACGCTCTTGTATAGATGCCACCGAGACACGCTCACGCTTGCCAGCACACAGTTACATGTGTTTATATGCATGTTTATATACAATATGTGTTTTCAGCTACCCACGTATGACGATACACACAATCACACGCCAGGGCTGGATCACACTTTCTTGCTAAAATCGTTGTAACTTCCTGGCTTTCCACCAACTCTAGGCCAGCACGCTCCTTGTCCCCAGCCATGGCTGGGAGCTTGTCCCTCGTGGTACTTACAGACACATGCCACTGCTGCCACACTGAGACCTACTCCGTTACTGCTCCTTTAGTTGTTTCGTCCTCCAGGCTGGGAGCCCCGAGACACCAGTGATGGGGTCGGAGTCGTCGTTTATAGTATCTCTAGGTCTTCAGGTGTGAATTCTTGGGTCTGTTGAGTCTGTAAGCTGTCTGTAAGGGTAGGTGTCCTTTACGTCATATGTAACTTACCTGTGCCCTCCCAGGGCAGTTTTGCTGTTGACCCTGGAGGCTTGGGGACTCCGGAGTGTTCTGAGATGTTGCCGCGGCATCTGGGTCACTGAGATCTGGGCCTCACACCAGTGTGTGATTCAGGCTTGAGGCTCTGATCTGGCGTGTGAATCCCTCATTCCATCCATGGCCCCGGAGAGCGCCTTGACTCCTGCAGGGCCCCCAGGCTGACAGCTGAGAAACCCTGTTCCTCTAATTGTGAGCTCCGGCTTCACACTGGGAGCTCAGACTTGACTTCCTGCCAACAGCAGGACCTGGAGCCTGGACTCTGTCCCATATCAGGCAGTGACATCTCAGCCCCAATAACCCATGGGCACCCTTGGTTTTCCCATGGGGTGTGGGGCACCAGCCCCTCTCACTGGAACAGATTCCACCTCTCTTAGAACCTGAAAATTACACTTTCGGGCTTTTGAGGTGGGTTCTGTATGTTTAAAATACTTAAAAATACATTATCCAGCATTTTTTGGATGCCTGGAGTAGGATGGGAAATTTCAATTTGTGTTCACCCTGCCATCTTACTTTATCTCTGCGTCCCAACGCCTCGCTCAATAAAGAGTTGTTGATTGAGTCTCTTTCTCCATTTTTCTCCTTTCTTGTCCTCTTTCCTGTCTTTGTCCAGATCTGTCTCTGCCTCCCAAGGAGTCCAGAAAGGATCTTGGCTTCAGAAGAGCCCTGGACCCCGGCCAGCTAGATGAAGAGAGGGCCATCTGCCCCGGGTCAGGGCTGCGGGGCTGGGCCAGGGCACGCTCCCTCCTGGGAACTCCGGCTCCACCTTGCACTCTCTTGGGGCAGAGTGTCCCTTGGGGTGGCTGGGTGGAGTGGGGACCAGGTTCAGAGGAAGGGCTTGAGGCTGCGAGCTGCTCTTCATTCTTAGAAACAGACGGCCCTTGGGATCCTGAGAATGGCACCTGTCCCCTGTCCCTTTGTCTAGCTCCAGGTGCCACGCAGCAGGCTCTGGCCCCACAGACCCCTGTCCCAGTCCTGGGGCTCCTAATATGCCATGGGTTTGGGGCAGAGGAGTTGGAAGGGCCCGTGCTGTGATGCCCGTGGACATCGAGGCATGGCTGCTTCCTCATCTGTCTCCTCTCTCGGCTGTCTTTCTGCTCTGTATCTGCGATGCATGAGTGAGTGTGAATGTGAGTGTGTGAGAGCGTGTGTGACCGGGTGGGATTGCTGGGCGTGGCTGTGGACTGCTCAGAGAGCGCCCCTCAGGATCCAGTAGCCGTACGTGTTGGAGGAGCCACAGAAGCACCAACTAGAAGCATCCCGGTCACTCCCAGAATACTGGCTGAGCACTTGCGATGCGCCAGGCGCTGGGCTGGCCGGGAAGGCAGCTGTTACCCAGAAATACACGCACAAGTATGAAATGACAACAGTCCCAAATGCGCTGGAGTAAAAGTACAGGGAGCTGAGTGAGAAGCTCATGGGGAGGGGCTTGATTTAGGATGAGGGATCAGGGAAGTCCTTGCTGAAGAGGCGACTTCCAAGCCAAGCCCTAGAAGAGGCAGGGAAGAGCATTCCAGCAGGGGAACAGCATGCATGAAGGCTCTGAGGAGCAGACATCTTGGAACATTCTAGAGATGGAGTAGGGGCGCCTGTGGGAAGGAGAGAGTGGGGAGAGGGCCCTGGGGAAGCCAGCGGGGCCTTCAGAGCTTCGGAGGTGGGCAGGGCTGGGAGTGTGGACGTTCTCCTGTGTGTAGGGGGAAGCAGTAAAGGTTTAAGCAGGGAGGGGTGTGATCAGGCCTGTGTTGAGAAGCTCGCTCTGCTTGGCAGCCCTGTAGGAGGAGCGGCTGTGCCAGGCCCACGCAGGCCCGGGGATCTGGGGATGGAGAACATCCAGCCCAGGGCTCCATGGGAAGGGGAAGATAAAATCATAAACTGACCTTCGCACTCTAAAATGACAGAGGTGCCTGTGAGCACGAACTCTGTCAGGGGAACCAGGGAGGCTTCCCAGAGGAGGCGGCATTTTTGAGCTGGGCCTGAGGGATGGCAGGCAAGATGGAGGCCAGCACTCCAGGCCTAGGGAATAGCTTGAGCAAAGCCTTGGTAGCGGGAGAGCTTGGGTTGGGTTTGATGAGCCGGAGGATGAGAAGTGAGTCCCCAAGGTCACATGGCCCCTCGGCGGCTGAGCCAACACTGGGGCCCCCGTCTCTGACGGAGTGGGGCTCTCGGAGGCCCAGCCAAGGCCTGGCACCAAGAACTGACATCGAGGAAGTCCCAAAAGCCCAGTGGACTCTTGCAGACCCGGAGTCCAAGGGAGGGCACTTCCCCAATTGAGGTGCAGCTGGGAGATGGGGAAGAGGAAGTGCGGGCCACAAGCTAGACCCCGAGAGCCAGCCGGGGGAGGAGCCTCCTCTCGAATTGAAAGGAGCAGGGTGCGGCTTGCCCAAAGGCCGCTCTGTGGAGTCCTGGGACCGCAGCCGCGAGACCCGGGGTGGCTGGAGGGAAGTGAGGGGTGGACTCAGCCCGGCCCTGGCTGGGTGAGACCCTTTGACACCCACTCTCCTGGACCACTGACGGCCATGGCCGTGGCCCAGCAGCTGCGGGCTGAGAGGTGAGTGCGAGGCGCCGCCCTCCCTGGGCCTCCTCACTGTCCCCTGCAGGCCTCGGGGGACAAGGCCTGCCCTCCTGCGGCCTTAGCAGCATCAAAAGTTGGGAGGCTGGAGTTGACTCAGAGCCCGAATTCTCAGAAATACAGACTCTTAGAACTGTTTTAAGGAAATTTTGAGTTGCGGCTCACCTCCCTCAGGCACAGATGAAGACACTCAGGCTCAGAGAGGGGGAGTGACTTTCCCAGGGTCACACAGGAGTGGGTGGCAGAATCTGGATGGGAACTCAGGTGTCCTGGGTCCCAAGCTGGGCTCACTTTCATCTTCTGTCCAAACAGAGTCTCAGAATCTGGCTTGTTCCCCCTCTGTATCCAGGGCTTGACTCAAATGTCACCTCCTCTGAGAAACCCTCTTAGAAAGCCCCCTCGTTGCTCTCTGACCCCTTGCCCTGTTTCCTTTTTCTTCATGGTCCTCATTTACTGGCAGTTAGTTCTATGCTCACTCGCTTGTTTTCTTTATCGCTGGCTCCCGCTTTAGAAACAAGCTCCCTGAGGATATTTGCATGCTCTGGTCACGGCTGCATCATTAGGAGATGGAACAGTGGCAATCTTAGTCTCAGTCTTAAGTGCCGAGTAGATGCTGCTGAATGAATTAAGGAATGAATGCATCTTTGAGCAGCAAAGTGGCCTTAGATCTTTGCAGTCCAAGACTGTCATTGTACAGATGAGAAAACTGAGGCCTATGGTGGATCAGGTACTTCCTCAGGGTCACACGGAGTGAGTGGCAGGGCTGGGGCTGGGAGCCTCATCTCTCAGCAAGCCTTTTCTGGATATTGCCTCGGTAGCCAGCTGTGGGGAACCTGAGGACACAGGGCTCGGCTCCTGCCCTCCTGGATTGGAACAGCAGGTGACATCAGAAAAAGAACGTGCCAACTGTGTGGAGGTGACCCAGAGGGTGGCTGGAGATGGGTCAGGCTGGTTTGGGCCGAAGTGGGCAGCAAAGGGCCCCAGGGGGAGTCTGGGGCTAGAAATGGAAGCTGGCGGGGAATTTCCAAGGTTAAATTTCAGAAAGAAAGCTTGTCAGTGTGTGCGGAGGGAGGGGCCACAGATGCAAATGCTCAGAAGGCAGGTCGAGAATGGCCTTTGTGAGCCACAGAGGGTGGTGCTGGGGGGCTGGGGTGAGGTCATCCCACCAGATTCCAGCCCCTCTTCCCCATGAGCTCTCACTGGAGACTGGGCCTGACACGCAAACTCCAGCCTTCGGGAAGCAGCTGCCGTTTGAGGCTGTGGCACTTCCTACTTCTTGGGGTGCACGATCTGAGAGATGATGCCAAGACCTGGCTGGCAGGCCTGTGTGTCCCCTCCCTCCCACGCCCTGTCCTTGTTCAGCCCCGCAAGCCCCTGAAGGAGGAAGGCCACCCTCCTCCATCCCTTCAGGGCCTGCAGATGGAAAGGACTGCCGGGGGTAGTGACTTTGGTTCTGACAAACATGTTCCAAGCGCCTACTGTGTGCAGGAGCCACAAAACCTGAACTAGCTGCCAGGCAAGGGTCTTTGCAAACATGAGTGTGTATGAGCCTGAGCATCCAGCCCGGGAGGACCCTGAGTGGGCTTCAGCTCAGGGTGGCTGAGGTCTCCAGGGGAGGGGCTCTTCCAGCGGGACTTCCGGTTGGGTCTGCTGCATCTCTGCCCCCGCCCTGGGCCGAAACCTCCTGGCTCGGCCCAGCAGGCAGCCAGACCATTCCCACACTGCAACCAGAGGGCTTGCTAACACAGACGCAGCCAGTGGCCCTGTGCTGAGTTCCTCCTATGAGCTGGTGCTGTTGTGGGCCCTGGGGATGCAGCAGTGAGCAGGGTCTCTGATCTCGTGGCGCTTCTCGGGCTGTGCGTGTTGCAGGTGGGACCTCCTGAGCCTCCAGGATGTAAAGACTTCTCTGGTCCCATTTTACAGAGGTCCCTGCTGGCAATGGCAGAGCGAGATTGCGGCCTTCGTCTCCCACTTGTGCCCTCCCGCTCTGGCACACACAGGTCTGCGGATGCCCTCCTGGCATGGCCTCTTCCCCGTCGCCCCAGGGCAAGGCCAAGGGCCCTTCGTGAGGGGCCCTGCCTGTCTCGCTGGCTTCGTATCTCAGTACTTTCTGCTTCTTGCTCTGTGCTCCAGCCCCACTCAAACCACCCCTCTCCCCTTGTAGTCCCTTGAACTTCCCCCTCTGGCATGACGGGTTCCCTTGCGTGTCCTCCTGTGGCCGACTCTCTTTGTTTCTCGCATTGACCCAGCGCTGCTTCTTCTGGGAAGCCCTCCCTGACCACCTCAGTCGGGGCGAGCCTTGTGCTCATAGATGCACAGCACCCCTGTTTCTCTCTCTGATAGATGTCACCCCATCTTAGAAGCATCCGCTTGACAACCTCCCTTGCCTGCTGCCCTGCCGATTCTTTGAGGGACTGTGATAATGGCCAGGCTCCTGTCGCAGCTCAAAGCGCCGTGTGCTTTTCCTTCACAGCATCTCTGACCATAGAAATTCAGTAATTATTTATTGAGTGTCCAATTCCTCCGCTCAGCCCTGAGACCCGGGAAGGCAGAGGCCACGTCCTCTGAGCTGCGGTAGTTGCTAACACTAACAAGGGCTTGCTATTATTATTATTATGAGTTCCAATGGGGAAACTGAGGCTGGGAGGGGTTGGGATTTACCTGAGTTCCTGCAGCAAGCTGTTGGGAGCTTCAACCTAGGGGCAGCGCAGTGGTGTTTGCGAACAAAATTCTGGAGCCAACCTGCTTATGCTCAGATCTCAGCTGCTTGACTTACTGGGGCAAGTTTAACCTCTCTGTGCCTCAGTTTCCTCCACTGTAAAATGGTGTCTTAGAAGAGTGCCTGGTGCATAGTGTGCCCTCAGGAAATAGTTAGCCATAGTTAGGATTGGGTAAGCCTAGCATAGGAAGGATTACCCAACCTGCCCGATTCCCTGCGTGGGGCCGTTTCCAACCCTCTGGTTCCTTCCTGCCCTGCCCCCGTCAGCTTGCAGATGAAATACCCGGGAGATGCACGGCCTCAGGGGAGAAAGTGGAGGAGGGAGCTTCCCCCAGGGTGTCACCAGGGGCGTGTGTGGGAAGAAAGTGCGGAGGTTGCCAGCAGCCACGAAGTTGCTCTGGAAGTGGTGGAGGTTTCCTCTGCCCATCCGCTGCCACCCTGAGTCACCTCCTGGTGGGAGCCTCCAGTGTCCCGAGTTAGCCCCAGCTCCCAAGCAGCCCAGGTCACGTGGGGCCAGCAACGGCAGGGACTGGGTGTGGCCTTTGAAATGGATTCCTCCTGAAGTTCTGGCTGGCTCTGCGGCCTCCGACGTGGAGCCTCCATCCCCTGCTCCCACGCTGTCCCCAGTGCTACCGCAGTTGAGTCATAATTGCCTCTTGTTTCCTGGCTGGTCCACAAGTGTCTGGCCTTGGTGACCCCTGGCTGCTGCCTCTCCGTCTCCTTGGCTTCTGTTTTCTCTTTCTGCCTCTGTCCCTCTCAGGCCCCTTCTCTGCTCACTGATTGCTCTTCCCTGGGGGTCTTAGCCAGAAGTGATGGGAAAGACGGTTCTTACCTCTCCTATTCCAGCTGAGTCCTCTCTGCAGAGCTCCAGAGCCACACGCCAGCTCTTGCTGGACCCCACCTGGGTGCCCAAGAGGCCGCTCAGAGGAGCATGCCCGAAACTGAAGCCATCACCCCTGCTCCCCTCCCACCCATTCTAGTCAGAATACAGGTGACAGATGGCTTGCAACTCAGGAATGACTCACAATGGTTATTGTATCTGTTGGAAACTCATGAGACTGTGGGAACAGAGGAACTTATAGGGCCTTAAACAAATGGGTTTATTTTTTCACGTAACAAGAAGTCCAGAGGTAGGCCACAGCTGGGTCCACAGCTCGTGACTTTAGGACCAGCATTCCAGAGATTCGTTTGGTCTTCCTCATGTTTTTGCCTCATGGATGCAATATGGCTGCTTCAGGTCCAGAAGTCACAACTGCTTTCAAGGCAGGAAGAAGGGGAAAGGGGAAGAGACCCATGCTGGCCTTGTCCATCCCTCTGGATCAGGAAAGCCAACATTCTTCGAGAGGCCCCTGTAGCAGATTTCCTCTTAGGTCCCACTGGCCAGAACTAGTCACTGGCTGCTCCTAGCTGCAAGGGAGGCTGGGAAATAGGAATGAGATCCTTATGTTGGGCTCAGACCAATCATGGTCTGTCACCTTGGGGCTAGGTGCATTGCTACCCTGAAAAGAACTGGAGCTTGATGAGCAGGAAGAAGCAGGGGACACAACAAATGAAACTATGTCTGCCAGGATGGTGTCCCTGTGTCTGTTCTTCCCTCCTGTCCTGGCTGTCTGGCACAGGCCCACATCATCTCTCAGTTGGACACTTCAGGGCCTCCTGTGGTGCTCCGCTCCTTCAGTCTCTGCCCTCTGTCACCTCTCCATGCGGCTGCCTGGGTTGGCCTCCTAAAGCCAAGATCATGTTGTGTTCTCACTCTCCTCCGAAGCCCTGTGTGGCTCCCTGTTGCCCAGAGAAGTTCCTTCGCTCAGCACTGGAGGCCCTCCTTGGCCTGGCCTCCTCTGCCTGTTCAGTCTCTGATCACATCAGACTCCAGCCACACGAGACCTGGGCCCCAGCCTCAGACCTCAGAACATTAGCACATGCTGTTCCCTCTGCCAGGAAGCCCACTCCCCCCAGCCCTGCCGTGTCCTACCTGGTGGATTCCTATTCGACCTTCTAGACCTGGCTCATGTCACCTCAGTGAGGGCTTCCCTGACCTGGGCATAATTAGCCATCCTCTCTGTGGGGTGTGAGTTGACTTTGTAACCCCTGTGGCCGGGGGCCTAGAACCGGGCCTGACGTGGAGGTGGTTCTCCATGAATCCACCATTCCTGGAGGAATAATGTGGCCACAAAGCCATCTGCTGGACCGTAATATGGCTGTTAATACACTGGTCCATCTCCAAGGGCCTTGGCTCTCAAGCTCTGCTCTGGGTCTCGGCCTGGCACAGGGAGGGTGTTGAACGAGGAGTGCCGGACAAGCCCGTGGCTCGCTGTGCACGCCACCTCGCACCGGGGGCCCACCCAGCGCATCAGGGGTGATGACCAGATGTCTTTTCCTCCTGCATCCCGCAGTGACTTTGAACAGCTTCCTGACGACATCGCCATCTCAGCCAACATTGCCGACATCGAGGAGAAGAGGGGCTTCACCAGCCACTTTGTAAGAGAGACTCCTGGACTGGGACCCTCTGACCTCTGAACCCCCACCTGACCTCTGAACCTTCACCTTCTGACCGCTGAACCTCCGCTTTCTCATTCTTCTATCCCAGTGGTTCTCCACGAGGCAATCTTGCCCTCCAGGGGACATCTGGCAGTGGATATCTTGAGCCACTGTTGATGATTACGACTTGGGGCCGGGTGCGGTGGCACCTGGGGTGGAGACCAGGGATGCTGCTCAACACCCTCGGCACACAGGACGCCCCCGCCGCCGAGAGTGATCTGGCCCCCGGTGTAATACCGAGGTCGAAAAACCCTGTGCTGAGCCTGGGACCTCTGAGCCTGCAGCCTCTTCTGCCCCTGGCCCCCGAGGCCTGAGCCCCGGCCTCTGTCCTCCCCAGGTTTTCGTCATCGAGGTGAAGACGAAAGGAGGGTCCAAGTACCTCATCTACCGCCGCTACCGCCAGTTCCACGCCCTGCAGAGCAAGCTGGAGGAGCGGTTCGGGCCAGAGAACAAGAGCAACGCCTTCACCTGCAGCCTGCCCACGCTCCCAGGTAGGCCGGCGGCCCGGCTGCCCCGGGGCTGGGCCCCCACCCCGGGACGGGCCGGCCCGGCCTCTCGCTCCAGCCCCGCTGACACTGTCCGGTTATCCTCTTCTAGCGCACGCGAAAACCGTGCATTCAGTCCGCGGCCCCCTCCTGGCAGTCACAGGCTGCCACCTCTAGCTCTCTGGCCTCCTAGCCCTTGACCTCCTGAGCTCCAGTGACCTCTACGGCCACCTTGCTTCAGCCCTCCACCAGCGAAGCCACGGTTTAGAGCGCCTGGGCACCGGCCTCTCCTCCTCCAGACAAGAATTCCGCGTCTCCCTCATTAAACGCACAGACTCCCCTCCCAGCCCTCCCACCAGCCCTTCCATGAGGACTGCCTCTATGTCTGCAGTCCTGCTTCTGCCGGTTCCCCAGGCTCCCCCTCCTTCCCTGCCCTGCTGGCACACTGTGCTGTGTCCCCTCACCCGTTGCCTCCTGGCCTTCCCCAACTTGGTCCTAACGTGCACCTGGGACAGGCCCAGACCTTCGGCTTCCCAGTGCCTGTCTGCTTGAGCCCTGCAGGGGAAAACCCTATCCGTGTGGGCTCTGGGGTCTCCGTGGTGGTCTTCATGCCCTGCAGGCTGGATACAAGGCCCCTTCTCCCAAATGGCAGGGATACTTCCTGCCCTTTCCTTCTCCAAGCCCCGAATCCCGCCTCCAGCCTGCTCTCTGCCTCAGCCCGTGTCCATGCCCGTGGTTCCTCGGCATCCAGCACGGAGGGACCACAGCTGTCCCCAAGGGTTCCTGGCTTCTCTTTTCCTCCTTGGGAGCTGGTTCAGCTCACACCTGCCCCTTCCCTCTCTGGGCTGCAGGGGAACGGGGTCTTTCCTGCTCTCCGCCGACCTCTCCTCGGGGCTCCACATCGCTTTTCCTTTCTTCTCTTTCGGGGCACTGCCCTGCCAGCTTGTCCCACGTGGTCCTCATATACGCACCTTCTCCTTTCTACGTTGACTCTGCTGAGCCTCTGCATGGGCTCGGTTCTCTTCCGTCTTTAAACAAACACGTGCCATGAGGAAGCATCCTTGCAACAAGCCTCCTTGAGCCCCACAAACCCTCAAAGATCTTTTTCTTCTTCCTTTTCCGATAAATCTTCGCTCACTGTCCCACCGTCTCATCTCTCATCATCTGCTCAACCCACCAGCTTGGTTTCAGCTCTTACGGCTCCAGGATTTCCCGTTGGGATGGTGGCCGTGGCCTGTGCACTCTGACTTCCAGGGGCACATCTCCGGCCTCATCTTGGTTGTCCCGCGTCTCCCTCCCGGAAGCTCTCTCCCACCTTCTGTGGCATCAGCGTCTCCCAATTCCCTTCCTCCCTCACCAGCTGCTCCTCCAACCTCCCCTTACAGAACCTGCCTCCTCCGCTGCTCCCTGGAAGGTGGCGTTCTCCGCATCACCAGCCTCAGTCCTGGCTTCTCGCTCCCCCCACAAGGCAATCTGACCCACACCTGGGACTTTAGTTGTCCCTTTTCTTGCTGCTAACTCCCAAATGTCCATCTCTATGGCAGACCTCAGACGCTACCTTCCCACGGCTGCCAGACCCCAGCCCCGCCTGTCTCCTGGGCAGTGCGAGCAAGACAGGTGTCACGTTCACCCTGTGATGGGGGCTTTCTGGGTGGGTGGTTCCCCAGGGACCTGAGGCTCCTGGAGGGGACATTTGTCTTTGCTCAACCGTCATCAGCTTCCCTTTCCCCTCAAACATTCTGCCCTGCTTTTGAAGAATGATTCATTCATCCACTCAACAAATATTTATTGATTTGGCCATTATTCTAGACCCGTGATTCTTAACCTTGGTGGCACAGTGGAAGTATCTCAGGATTGAAAGGATCTGATGCCCGAGTCCCACCCGCAGAGATTCTGATCTAATTGTTCTGGGACAAGCTTCACACAATGGAATTTTTAAACTCCTCGGATGAGCTGTGTGTGCAGCCCGAGTTGAGGACACTGTCCTGGGGGCTGGGGATGCAGCTGTTAGCAAAGCAGATAAAGATCCTGTTCTCTTGGAGCCAAGAATCCTGTGTGCGTGTGTGTGTGTGTGTGTGTAGGAACAGGTAATAAATAAACAATTAAAACAAGAAAAATCGCTGGCAAGACTGCAACTCAGAGAATGCAAGGTGCGTGATGGGCTGGTCCAGAGCAGCTACTGGGCGCCGAGGAAGATGAGAGAAGGAGCGCAGCCCACTCCTGGCCCCGGGTGGGAGCCCCGAGCCCGTGTTCTCGGGCCAGGCTCCAGGACAGCGTTTTCCCTCTCCTCTCTCCTCAGCCAAAGTCTATGTGGGTGTGAAAAAGGAGATCGCCGAGTCGCGGATACCGGCCCTCAATGCCTACATGAAAGTAAGAGCGTGACCATGCCGCTGTAGCAGCGGGGAGGGCAGGGCACCGGGTGTTGCGAGGGGGAGTGGCCCGGGTGCCACCCCTGGGCGTGGCTTTGGGCACTGGGGCTGGTTCTCCTGCTCTGATGGCCGGCATCTTCAGTCCTTAATGCCTGGCCTAGGGAGAGAAACAGGCTGTGTTCTCAGGGTCCCGGGGAGGTACAGGGAGCCACACTTTGAATTAACAAATCTAACGCTGGTGCCAGTGTTCTGACACAGAGGTGAATAGGATCCAGTGCCTGCCGCCAGGGTGCCTGCTTCCCAGTGGGCATATGGACAGGTGGATCAGGAAATCACTAAGGCGCGTGGCCTGTATAAGGGGGCATGCCGGGCCGGAGCCCCAGCTTTCTCACACAGAGCCTTTGTGCGAACTGGAGAAAGGCCCCTCTGCCAGGACACAGGCTGGGTATCAGATTAGGATTTCACACTCACAGGCCTCGGCTGGGTGCCCTTGTGTACTCCCCAGCCTGAAAGCAGCTTGTATCCCTAGGAGATGGAAGGATGGAGGAAGGAATATCTTAAAGGCAGGGACCAGGCTGGTCAGGAAAGGCCTTTCACCAAACAGAGCAACGCAAGACAGGGACAGTGTTCCTCATGATGTAAGCATAAGTGAGCACCCCATCACTAGAGGCATACAACCCATGGCTTGATAGCAACCTCAGGAAACTGGAGTGGAAAGCCCTCCTTGTAGCCCAGAGCATCCTCACAGACAGTGAGAGCTCCCCTTCTCTTCTGCTCTCCCCTTGTTGCTCTCACCTATGGAATGGAGCAGCGCTCCAGCTCACCTGTCTCGCGGGAGTGATGATGGAATCCATCGAGAAAAGGACAGGAAAGGGCTTTGTAAACTGTGAACTTGCTCCAGAACTTGAGAGATCGTGACTCCTGGTGGCGGCAGGAACCCTGGGCTCTGAGCGGAGAAGAGACAAGGAGGGCAGTGTGTGATCCCCGCACTGGGGCTGTCTGCCCTCCAGGGGGCACTGTAACCGCTGCTTCTCAGGGTGGCTGGACGGTCACACTCCTCCTCCTCCTTGGGGCTGGGCAAGGAGACTATGCCCCCAGGGAGGGAGAGAGGCTGCAGAGCAGGGGGCTTTTCATCCCACACCTGTTCTTAGCAACCTGCACCCTGGGGGACCCCATCTCCACCTGTCTGTGTCCAGTTTCTTTCCTTAAAGCCCGGAGGTCAATCAGTGCAGGAATCTCTGCTACTGTAATCCCACCCTGTGCTTGCACACCTTCAAAGACACGGAGCTCACCACCACTCTCCCCTGACCCAGGCTGCTCTTCCCGTTGTTGGTTAGCTATTAGAAAAGCCTGATTCCCTGTAATTTCCACCCACTGGTCTCCCTGCTGTCCCCATGAAGAATATGGGATTTGTGATAGCATCCACCTGGAACCACGCGGAGAACTCTGACCAGCAGCCGGGACGCTCTGGGTGTGCGCTTGTCGGATAAATGAACAGGCTTATTGAATTCCCTCAATAACTTGGGAGTGAGATACTATTATCCCTGTTTAAAAATGAGGACGCAAAGGCACAGAGAGGTGGAGTCACTCACTCAGTGTCACAGAGCAATTGTAGGAGGGATGGAATTTGAACTCACGTGTCTGTGACTCCAAGGTTGTGTTCTTACCTCCTGTGCTGTGTTGTAATAAAGATAACAGCAGCAATGAGAATATCTGACTAGGATGGGGCGCCAGCTAGATGCCCCGCGCTGTTCTAAGTGTGTGCACATATTCACTTATTTCATCCTTAGACAATCCCACCAGGGAGATGCTATTATCACACCCGTTTTATTAAAGAACACACAGAGGCACACTTGCCCAAACTCACCCAGCTGGGATGACAAAGCTGGGATGACAAAGCTGGGCTTCGATCCTGGGCACAGCCTGGTGCAGGGTCTGTTTCTTAAGCCTATCTCTGGGCTGCCTCCCTGCCCTCCCCGTGTGACAGCCGTGTCGCTCCTGGGCTCTGACTTCCCAGTTCCTCTGGGAGCGAGTTCTTGGCCCCTCCCCATCCTGCTGCCTCCGTGGGGTGCCCTGAGGGGGTCTTGGTGCCTCTGGAGCTGTAGCACCCAAAGCCGAACCCCGGTGCTCCTGGGGACCCACGTGGTGTGGCACTTGGGGGAATGGCCCTGCCAGGTTCTGGGTCCTCTGTGTCCTCGCAGCCTCAGTGTCTTTGCATCATGGCAGATGTAACCAGCATCAGATGGAATGGGAGTCCTAACTGCTATTTCCTAGGTCTGCTGACTGGGCGGAGCACTTCCCCTTTCCCAGCCTCAGTTTCCCCAACTGTGAGATGAGATGAAGTATCAGGATGTGTTTTTTGGCCATATTACCACCACCTGTTGCTAATTTGGGTTAGTTGGGTCATCCTTCCTCCCACTATTGTCTCCTTTGACTGAGAGATGCGCCTGAGCAGCAGATGGCTCTGGGTGTCCCAGCTCTATCACTTGCTAGGCTGTGTGGCCTTGGGCAGGTTCCTTCCCCTCTCTGATGCTAAATCCCAGGTTATCACAAGATGGAGTGAAGTCACATGGTGTGGCCCTCAGTGCAGCGCCTGGACAGTCGCCAGCACATCACGTCACCTGTCCTCACCTTTCCTGTCATGTCTGGAGGCCTCCAGGCCTTTTCCAAATGGACAGTTCTCCGACCACTTGGCCGCCTCCTAGCCTTGAACCCAGGAGCAAAGCTTGTGCAATGTTAACTTCAGAGTATGCAGATCTTTAAAATACATCTCGTTTCTATTGTCGGGTAGGAGACGGGTTAGCAGAGACAGAGGTGTGGCGTGGGGGCGGGGGCGGGGCAGCTGCCTTGGGATGGCCAGGCCTGTCTGCAGCCGCCCCAGCGGTCTCGTCCTCTCACCCGCACCAGAGCCTCCTCAGCCTGCCTGTGTGGCTGCTCATGGACGAGGACGTGCGCATCTTCTTCTACCAGTCGTCCTACGACGCCGAGCAGGTGCCCCATGCGCTCCGCCGCCTCCGCCCGCACACCCGGAAAGTGTAAGTGGCCGGTGCCTGCACTCCCGCCAACCAGAGCCCTGGGCACCCTCCTCCTGACTCGGCGCTCTCTGTCCCAGAGGCCCCCGCTGCAAGGGCCCCTCTTTTCCCTGGAAGAAGAGAAGGGATGGAGATGAGTTCTAACTCTGAACATCCAGGATGTTTGGCTGATCAGAGGAGCTTGGAAAACCAAACTCCGGGCCCCGAGGGACAGAAGCTGGATGTGTTTTGATGTGTGTGACAGAAAGGACCGAAGGACAGGGGCTGGGCCATTATGGGGAGGGTTTGGGGCCACAGCAGCCACTGGGGGTGGTCTGAGAGCGCTGGCGCCTGGGGAGAGTGGGGAGCGGGGCGGGGGGGGGGGGGGGGGAGCTGTTCTATCACGGACCTTCTGAGCATCTCCCCGAATGCTTTGTCCCTGGTTTGTTTCAGTTCCAGGGGGCTGGCCTTGCCTCCCTGTGTATCATGGTGGCCCCCAGGCGGCGCTGCCACTCAGTTCCTTACTTTAAAGAGCCCACCACTCCCCTCCAGCCTCGTGCCCTTCCAGCCTCCTCCTAAGCAGGAAATAATCATGGAAAATCCAAGCCACTAGAGTAGAGCTGGGTTCCCAAAGGCGAGGCTGCGGCTGCAGAGACGCCAGGGCAGTGCTCCTGAGCCCCGGCCTCCCTCCCAGCTCCTCCCTCCTTCCTCCAGCTGGTATCCCCGAGTGTCCCCTTGGTGCCTGGACATCTCTCCTGTCCACCCAGGCAAGCACGGCCCGAGTTCCAGCTGTGCCACACGGCAGCCCTGGGCCCTGCAACAAGGCATGTCACTTCCCCAAGCCCATTTCCTCAGCTGAAAAGTTAGAGGTTGGGTGTGGGTTGTAGAAGAAAGAACAAACGTGAAAGGTTTGGCAAGTCCTGGCTCTAAGCAAATATGTCTGTACTCCCATCTCCTTTCTGAGCCTCTGCTTCTGAGTCCACACAGGAGGATGTGGTCCCTCCCCTGGGGCGGTGAGAACTAGGGGATATGCGGGATGGCTGGATCTGCATTTTCAGCATCCTCTCCCTCTCCTGCCTTTCCTGCCTCTGGTGAGGGTCTCTTCTGGGCACAGAGTCAGGGAGCTGGGCCCTGAGAGAACCAGGCAGGCTGACAAGACCCTCTTCTCTCTCCACAGCAAGAACGAGTGCCCACAAGGTGCCGGCTTTGACCGCATGGCAGCTCCACGAGCAGAGGTACCCCGTGGGGCCAGGCCCTCCCGCCTCGCCTCTGGGCAGCACCGAGCCCCTCCTCCTGCTGGGCCTTGCTGTGTGGGCTGGTGCTGCAGGGAGGAAGGGCCCACAGCCTCAGGCTGTGAGGAATGGAGAGGAGGATGGAGGAGGGAATGGAGGTGAAGATGGAGATGAGGTTGGAGGCGAGGATGGAGGTGAGGATGCAGGTGGGAATGGAGGTGAGGGTAAAGATGAGGTTGGAGTTGAGGTGGGAGGTGGAGGTGAGAATCGAAATGAGGTTTTCTTGATCTATCACAGGGTTTCTCAGGCTGTGAGGCCACTGAGACCCCCAGCCCAGCTGAGGGGAGGGGATGTGAGGAGAACACAGAGGCGTAGGAAAATGCGTCCATCCATCATTCATTCAGCAAGCTTTCCCGGGCCTCCTCTGGGCCAGCCCCACCTGGGGACTGAAGCCTCAGAGATGACTCAGACAAGGCCCTGTCCTCAGAGGGCTCACATCTCCCCAGGGACACATACGTAGAAACGGCATTTCAGAGACAGCATGGCCAGTGCCCTGGGGGAGAGGGGGTTGGGAGCGCTGGAGCTCACAGTGTGACCTGGGGGGCCATGGAAGGTGCTCTGTCCAGGGATCTTGGACCCTTCCCTCTCCACGTGCATCCCACCGGGTCTGGAAGGAGCACCCATTCTACAATCAGGGAGACCTGGGTTCTAATCCCGCCTCCTCCACTGTCAAATGGAGTGGCCTCAGACAAGTCACCCATCCTCCCCGAGCCTCAGTTTCCTCATCTGTTAAAAGGGACACTGAAGTCTGTAAGTACCTAGTAGGCCCGCAGTGGATGTCTCCTCCCTCCCGCCTTACTCCACTCTTCTTCCCAGGCACTGTTTGATTTCACTGGGAACAGCAAACTGGAGCTGAATTTCAAAGCTGGAGACGTGATCTTTCTTCTCAGTCGGATCAATAAAGACTGGCTGGAGGTAAGGTTGGAAGTGAGGAAAGAAGTGAAGTTGGAGGTGAGGTTGGAGATGGGAGTGGAGGTGACGATGGAGGTGAGATTGGAGGTGAGGTTAGAGGTGAGGACGGAGGTGAGAATGGCAGTGAGGATGGAGGTGATGTTGGAGGTGGGAGTGGGGATGAGGATGGAGGTGGGAATGGAGGTGAGGATGGAGATGAGGTTGGAAGTGAGGATGGAGGTAAAGTTGGAGGTGAGGTTGGAGGTGAGGATGGAGGTGAGGATGGAGGTGGGAATGGAGGTGAGGATGGAGGTGAGGTTGGAGGCGAGGTTGGAGGTAAGGTTGGAGGTGAGAATGGAAGTGAGGTTTTCTTGGTCTATCACAGGGTTTCTCAGCCTTGACACTATTGACATCTGGGGTCACATAGTTTGTTGTGGGGCTGTCCTGTGCATTGTAGGATGTCTAGCAGCATCTTTGGCCTCCACCCACTAGAGGTCACCCTCCAGTCGTGACAATCAAACATGTCTCCAGACTTTTGGCCCTGGGGAGCGAAGTCCCCCCAGATAAGACACCCTGGTCTGTAAGATGGGATGGCATTACTCCCCTGTGAGGCAGCGAGGGAAGATGCTGATGAAGAGCTGGGGGTCTGGAGTCGCCTATCTGTCGTCGTGTCTTTGCTCTGTTTTTAAGCAGCTTCGTGACCTTGGGAGACTCGCTCTGGCCTGTGGTTTCCTTTTTGGTCAGTGCAGAACAGTGGCAGTTTCCTCACAGGGTTCCTGGAAGGCTTAAAGGAGGCCTTGCTGTTCAGGGCTTGACCTACAGAAACCCCGGATGCATGGCCTCTGGCCAGTGTCAGGACCACTGGGAGAGTTAAATGAGACTCTGGAACCAGGGCCTTCTTGGTCGCTGCTTTGTCCCCCTGTGTGGCCAGCGTGGCCCACGCAAGGGCTCATAGTGACTTAGTGAATGGAGATGGGACGTCGCTGGGTGGGAGGCCCTGGTCTGGCGCCAGCCTTCGGGTTAGGTCCTGTCCTGCTTAAGATTCTCTTTCTCGGGGCTCCTGGGGAGGGTGTCTGAAGGAGGTTGTGGGACAGGTCCCAAGCAGGGCTGGCGTCCAGGGGTCCAGGGACCACTGATGGGAGGGGAGGGTCCCTGGTGTCCAGGGGTTGAGGGACTATTGATGGGAGGGGAGGGTCCCTGGTGTCCAGGGGTCCGGGGACCATTGACGGGAGGGGAGGGTCCCTGGCATCCGGGAGCTGGAGAGGAGCGAGGACCCTTGGCCCCACTGACTTGGTGGCTTTGATTATACCCCATCTCAGAGCTCTGCCTCGGATACTCATCAGCTCTTACAGCTGCCTGAGGGGTATTGCTGGGTCACTCTCCAGCAACAGGAAATGTTTGCTGCCTTCCTGTTCTCTGGAAAGTTCTATGTGTCAGTATGCTGGCCAACTTCTGGCCTTAGGTTGAAGGGAAGGTCAGGGGAGGAGTTAGGGGACTCTCTGAGCCTCCGTTTGTCCATCTGTAAATGGGGTGTAGGTACTCTGTCTTCCACAGGGTGGTGAGGACTAGGAGAACATTTCGCAAAGCCAAGCACGGGCAGGGCTGGCTCTTGGCCTGAAGTTCAGGAGAGAGGCCCGGGCCGGAGAGAGATTTCTGGCTGTGTGGTCCAGAGCAGGTGCTTGGTGGCGTCTGTGGAATGAGCGGATGGGTGGGAACCACCCCTCCTTCTCCCTCCCCCTTAACGCCTTCCACCATCTGACTCACCATGACGGACACCTATTGACCTGCACGCTGTCTGTCACCCTCCATTGCAGTGGAAGCCCCATGAGGGAGGGCGAACACCTCCATCCATTCTGAGTGCCCAGGGCCAGCCACACAGCTGGTGCTCAAGCAGTCTTTGAATGAATGATTGAGTGGATGAATGCATGAGATGATAGCAGCTTTCCAGAAAAATGCAGGTCATGAGCTATTCTAAAACCGAAATATAAGCCTTGGGGTAGGCGAACAGCTTGGTGACCTTGGTCACCTCCCTCTACATAAGGGGACTGAGACCTCATCTGCCTTTCCCCATCATCCTAAGGGGGCTGGGGCCCCCTCTCCTCGCACCGACAAGGCAGCCCGTTTTCCTCCCCAGGGCACTGTCCGGGGAGCCACGGGCATCTTCCCACTGTCCTTCGTGAAAATCCTCAAGGACTTCCCGGAGGAAGACGACCCCACCAACTGGCTGCGCTGCTACTACTACGAGGACACCATCAGCACCATCAAGTTCGTGGCCTGCTGGCGGTGGGGAGGGGTGTTGGCCTGTCCCCACCCCCACCCTCACCCCCAATATCACACTCCGGGCTCCAAGATCCAAACCAGATCTGATGCCGTCCCCCTGCGTACACACTTAAAAGCCTGCAGTGGCTCCCACCGCCCTCCGAGAAAACCATAACTCATAACAAGATGTCAAGGTCCGGCCCGGCCAGGCCAGCCTCATTCCCGTGTATCCCCCTGGCATGACGCCGCCTCACCCCTGCTTGTCATCCCCTTAGGGACATCGCGGTGGAGGAAGACCTCAGCAGCACCCCACTGTTCAAGGACCTGCTGGAGCTCATGAGGTGAGGGGCGGGGCTGGAGGACCGAGGCGGTCACGAGCCCTGGAGGAGAGAACGGGGGAGGGGGCCAGGGCATCAGGGGCCTAGCTGCTTTGCGTCTGTTTCGCTTCCACGTTTGACCCACAGCCCAGCCCTGCAGAGCTGTCATCAGGTTCCCGCGTCAGAGATGAGCGGGGGCTGCAGAGAGGCAAAGGGGTTGTCTGAGGTCACGCAGATGCAGTTTATGAGTGTGGATGTGCAGCTAGAGCTAACGCCTTCCTAGGTAGAAACCCTGGGCCTGGACCCTCCACCACCCGGGAACTACCACCTCCCAAGACGCCGTTCACTTAGAGACAGTTATTTGACGGAATGGAAACAGCATTGTTATATTCCTGACAACACAAGTCCCACTTATTCACTATTAAAAAAAAAAAGAATGTCCGAAATCACAGAAAGGCGTAAAGAAGTGAAATCACCTCCTATTTTCACTCCTCTCATTATTCGAGGTGCATTCAGATTTCTTCAGTGCACACGCCCACCCACCCCCTACGTCAATATGCTTTAATTGGCTACGCCGTATCATTCTGCGGGTGCACCGTAACTAGTGGAGCCACCCCCTCTTGTTGGCCATTTAAATTATTTTCCACTTTTTTATTACTAAAAATAATGCTGTGACTTACATATTTGGTGAATGTGTGAGTTATTTCCGATTATTTCCTTAGGATGATTTCCTAGGAGTGGAATTTGGGGATCAAGGTGTTTGCAAGCCTGTGAGGCTTCTGACATGTTTTATTAAATTGCTTATAGAAAGGTTGGATCGATTTTTGCTCTCGCCAGCAGGGTGTGAGAACGCCCTCTCCCCGCGTGAGACAGTCCCATCCTCACAGGAGCTCCTCCACAGCCGCGCACGGGGCTCTCTGGGGCTTTATCCTGCTCCGCTTTGTGTGCCGCCAAACCTGCTCCTCTTCCCCACAGCAGCTCTTAAGTCTTTGGCACATTTATACACAAGACATTTCAGGCTGTGCCACTGATTGCTTGTGAAAGCCTCAGTTTAGCCATCTGTACAGTGGGAGGTTGGACCACTCGGACGATAAGGCCTGTGTCAAGCTCTGACCCCTTCTGATGCTTAGATCCGGCCCCTAAAACTCCCTCCGCCCCCTCTCCCTGCCCCAGGCCTAGACCCAAGGCCACTGGACCTGTCATTAACCCTGACCTTTCCCACTCAGGCGGGAGTTCCAGAGGGAGGACATCGCCCTAAATTACCGGGATGCTGACGGGGACCTGGTTCGGCTGCTGTCGGATGAGGACGTGGCGCTCATGGTGAGGCAGGCCCGAGGTCTCCCCACCCAGAAGCGCCTCTTCCCCTGGAAGCTGCACGTCACCCAGCAGGACAACTACGGGGTCTATAACACAGTCCCCTGAGCCGACGGTATCCCTGGGCAGTGAGGGGACACCTGGCAGAGCCCTTAGAGGAGACTGGGACCAGGAAAGGCTGGGAGCGCGGGGAAGACATCCTCGTTCCAACTCGGTGGACTTGCTGGGCTTGGCTCTGTTGGTCTCTACACTTGGTCTCTGAGTTAAATAAACCATTTCGTCTCAAAAGGCCAGACTGAGGAAGATGGTATCTTTGAGGAAAGAGAGGAGAGGGAGTGAAATATCCTTTAATGAGCAGCAATTTGGGAGTCAATTAGGGCTCATTTATACCCAGAAGGGACCCGGCTTTGGGCCTCTCTCCAGCCACCCCATTCCCTTGCCCTGTCCATGAGTTTGGGGGAACCCAGCGACACACCTGGCCCTGCTGCCCACTCCCTTTTGCTCCTTGCCTGGGCCTGGCCGCCTGCCTCACAGCAGTAACTGCTCCCAGGTGCCCTCTGGGGCTGCGCCCACGCCAAGCCCTGTGTGTGAAGAGGGTCAGGGGGTCCCTCTGCCCTCTCCTTTCCGCCTCTCTGCAGAGGAGACGGAGACCTGGGCCTCCGTGTTGGGGTCTCCACTGTGAGTGGGGGTGTGGGGGGGAGGACGCTGGCCCCACGGTGGAGGAAGGAGAAGCGGCATGATGGGGTCTTCCTCTACGAGCTGAAGCTTTTTCTCTTCTAACCCTTCGAGACGCCAACAGGTGTCACTTCCAGAATGGCGGTGTGAGGAGTGCGGTGGACGCCCTCCGAGATGAAACAACCATTTCACTGATGGAAAATGCTTAAAACGTTCAACTGTTTACAGTCTCTGGAAATTGTTCTGAGAGCATACAGCAAAGGGAGAAGCATTTATTCAAGAAAATCTACTAAATCTCAGCCAGAACAGCGAGTCCATGGCATTTGAGCCGCCGTGCGCTCCCACCCCCACCCCAGCTCCAGGTGACAGGGACTCTACTCTGGGTGTGCTGCTTCGGGTGGGTGCAGCCAAGAAGAAGGGGGGCCCCTCTCCCCTCAGCTCCCAGTCTTGCCGTTTCACCCCAGAAAGGGCAGGCTGCCAGCGCCCCTCGTCCCCACAGCCCCGTGCTGTGGAAACACTATTCCACGAGATCACAGCTCCCTGTGTCGGTTTACCGGGGCTGCCCTAAGAGGGTACCACAAACTGCGTCTTAAAGAACAGAAACGTGCTGTCTCTCAGTCTGGAGCCCAGAAGGCTGATGTCAAGGTGTTGGCAGGGCCGTGCTCCCGACGGAACGTGTCGGGAAATGCGTCCTTGCCTCTTCCTAGCTTCTGGCAGTTTCCCGGTATTCTCTGGCATTCCTTAGCTTGTGGATGCATCTCTCCAGTCCTCTGTCTTCACACAGCGTTCTCCCCATGACTCCTCACCTTGTCTTCCGTCTGTGCATGTCTGTCCCTGGGTCCAATTTCTCCTTTTCAGAAGGAGACCACTCATATTGGATCAGGGCCCATCCTAAGCACTTCATTTTGACTTGACGACCTCTGTACAGACCCTCTCTCCCTGAAAGGTCACATTCCGAGGGTTTGGGGCTTAGGACTCCAACATATCTTTCTGGGGGTACGATTCAATCCATAACAATATACTAGAAAACATCCATTTAAGGAAAGTTGAACAGACTTGCAATGCCTGTTCTCACAAATCTAATTGTTTGGCTTCCTGCATGTCGCCTGACCAGACTCACTGAGGGGCCCCACTGTTGCAGAACAGCTAGGCCCTAGGTGGGACACACTCTTGGAAGAACCACGAGCCTCACAAGAAGTAGCAAGTTCTCCAAGGATGCTCCACTCTTCCCCAAACCTTCCCCCCTGTGTGGATCTGGGGCCCGAATCCATAGCGTTTGTGCGTTGTTCTGGAATGCAGAGGCAGTGCTGCTTTCAGAGTGCTAGGCCAAGGGAGGCCAAGGTGTGAGGAGGCTGGAGCAGGGGCTCTTGTGCTGGGTTGAGGCCCTGGGGCTGAAGGCTGAGGTGACCCTGAGACAGTGGCATCCCCGCCTCCAAGCGGAAGCAGAAGTCCCCTCTGGAGTAAAGTGTCCCATTTGGGCTGACAGGAGCCACTCAGATTAAGATGAAGCAAAAGGCTCACAGTCAAAGATCATCAAATCTCTGTGAGTGAGACTAAGCAGTGACAATAAACAATAGCTTTAGAGCCTCAGGGACTATAAGCTATTGAACTAAATGACTACAATATTTAAAGAAATAAAGAATAAAATCATAAGAATGAATGAGCTAAAGAGAATGACCAGGCAGATTTGCAGAAGAAATATGGAATATGTATATGTGTGTGTTTGTGTGTGTATATATATATATACACTCATAAATATACGTATGCGTAGGTGTCTGTGTGTCTGTGTATCTGTCAAAGCAGGAAACTCAGTGGACAGGTTAGATAGCACCTTACACGCAGGTGAAGAGATGACTAGTGAATTGGAAGGTAAACCAAAGAAATTACCCAAAATGTAACACAGAGAGACAAGCAGCTGGAGAATATGAACCTAAAGTTAAGAGATAGGAACAATAGAATGAGTTGTGGTTTTTTTAATCGGAATCTCAGAAAGAAAAAAAAAGGAGAATGGAGAAGAGGCAACATTTAAACTGATGACAGATGCAACAGTTCAAAACTGGTGAAGAACTTAACCTTACGGATGCAAGAAGCACATCCGGACAGCAGAATGAATAAAAAGTGATCCACAACTGGCTACAACATTTCGAATCCACAAAACACCAAAGTCAAAGAGAATAACCTCAAAGCAGTCAGAGGAAGTTGAGATAATTACAAAATAACAACAATTAGAATGATAAGCAGACATGTACAGATAAAATCTGAGAATTTGCCACCAAGATAGCTGAACTAAAAGTATCTTTAAAGTATGTTCTTCACGATGGGAAACGGTCCTTCAGGGATAGTCTGAGATGCAAGAACAAATGACAAGCAGAAACAAAGGTAAATGCTGTGGTGGATTTGTATTGCATTGACTTAGCTAAACCAGAGGTATATTTCTAAGAATTTCCCTCCCTGCATGGATCCAGACTACTGTGGGCCCTTAGAGACATTTGCAAGAGATTCAGAAGGCACACATGAAGCAGCGGCCAACTTCTTTCTGGTTCAGTTAAGAGATACTGTTGCAGCCGGTGAACATTGTTGCTTCTCGCCCTGCTGGCTCACATTTTGAAACTTCAGAACACAAAAGTCAAAGAGAACATCTTCAAAGTCAGATAAGATTGAAATCACCACGAAAGAGCAACACTTATACAGACATACCTCGGACATAGCGAGGGTTTGGTACCAGACCACCACAATAAAGCAAATATTGCAATACAGTGAGTCACATGAATGTTTTGGTTTCCCAATGCACATAAAAGTTATGTTTATGGTATACTCTAGTCTATTAAATGTGCAAAAGCATTATGTCTAAAAAGACAATGTAATACCTTAATTTAAAAAAATACTTTATTGCTAAAAATGCTAACCATCATCTGAGCCTCCAGCAAGTCATAATCTTTTCGCTGGTAGAGGGTCTTGTAAAAAAAACATGGTATTTGCAGAGTCCAATAAAGCAAAGCACAGTAAAACGAGGTATGCCTATAATGATAAGCAGACTTCTCAGTAACCCCCTCATTGTCAAGTCCCAGTTCCTGTGGATTCTCCTTCTCCCGGGCCAGGTGCGTGTTTAGATCTGCGGCAAAGGGCACCAGTTTCTTCCGCAGGTCCCCCCCTTGAATTCTTGGAGGGGGTGAGAGGCTGATGTGGTTACAGTCTGTCCTTTGGTTCCAGCTCACACCTGCAGTTTCTGGTCTGTCCTTGCTTCTCTCACTTCTCTCACTTCACGTGTATCTTCCATTTTTGGCTGCCTTCTTGGCAGACCTGACACAGATGCAACAGCATCATAGAAATGGTTTAACCAGCTCCCACAATTCAGGAAGACTGAACCCTCAAAGCAAATCTCTTGTTATGTGTTTCCTAGTGATTCTGCTTCTCTGATGGAACCTTGACTGTTACACATACATACAAATTCAAACAAATATTCTCAATATAAAGTAATTGTAATTTGTAGGGTTCAAAAAGGACTAAACTAAAATACTGAATAATAATAATAATAAGTGTCTTGGGAGAGGTGGAATTAAAATATTCTAAGGTGCTTGTACTATTCATAAGCAGAGTTAAAAATTGTTTAATGTTAGGTTTTGCCAAACTAAATATACATGGAAAATTTTAATGAAAATCACTAACTGATAGAAACAGAACATATGTGTTTCCTAATATTTACATCAAAATGGATAAGAAAAAAGGAAATCAATTAAAAAGAGGCAAGAAAAAAGAAGTAGGATTCAAAAGGTTGGTAAAAATCAGTTCAAATATATCAATAATTTCATACTGTAAATATATACAGACTCAATGCACCAATTAAAAGATTGTTAAATTGGATTAAAAAAAGTAAGTCCACGTAAGTGTCATACACATGTGACTCACATGCAGTCTAAGGACATGGAAACAATGAAAGTAAAAGCATAGAAAAAGATATTCCTGGCATCTACTTAAGCAAAAGACAGCTTCCGGGGGCGGGGGAGGGGCTGTCTATGCTGACTCACAGTCTATTTTTGTGTAAACTTGGAACCAAAACACATTTAGTGGCGATCCTTGACCCTGAACTCAACGGTTGTGCTTACCAGCCACACTCGCCTCTGTTTTCCCTTACCTCTTGTTGCTTTTGGGGCATGATTTTTGACTTTATGTATCCAAAGTAAGAAAATGTCAAAATCAGGGGTTTAAAAGCTTTTGCTGATAACGAAGCTGCTGAAAATTTTATCAGTGGGTTTGCTGTGGTGTGTTATCTGAGGAAAATTTTGACACTGACTGGTTGACAGCGGGAACAAAATTGCTCTGCAGGATGGCTGGTGAGGATCCACCAGTTGGTTACATCCTGTTGATGTTCTTGGTGGACCAAGGGCTGTGGGTATACACGGGGTGCATTTGGAATTAACTGGAAAAGGGCAGCATGTGCCATCTTTGAAAGGTGAATGCAGTTTACTGTCCATTATTATGCAAATTAGACAGCCTGGGTAACAGAGAAGTGTTTCTGACAGATAATAACCACTTTGTACCTGTGGTGCAAACTCATTGCAGACATTCTGGACTGGGAAAAGCCAATTGTAAGATGCTATCATCATTCTTGGGAAACTACTATGCACACCTCCTTCCTGAACTTCTTGTGAATTTCAGCTTTTATTTCTCCCCGGAGGTGTGTATTACAGCCTGTGTATAAAGACTTTTAGAGCAAAGATAAACACTTTTTTCAGACTGCATGCTTGCTACAATCACAGAGCCTAGGACTCTGTGACTCCCCAGAAGAGTTCAATCTTAATAATGTCATCTACACAATTGCCAATGCTGATAAGTCAACAGTCACAAATTCTTGGCACAGACTCTGTCTACAGTGATGTTTGAAAAATGAACCTGCCCAGAAGGGCTTTGAAGATTTTTTTGTGACTTATGAGGAGATGAGGATATAAAATGTCGTACATCCACAAAAAGTTTATTAGCCAAAAGTGCAAATAAGTTAGAGGAGCTAATATCGAAGAAATGTTGAACTCTACACTTCTCGTATTGTTTATTCCTTGCACGTTGGGGAAATTGCTGCAGTGGTGTTAGATACAGATAAGAGTTGACTGGTAATCATGGTGGTAATGATGACAAAATGGACACAGGTAAAAATATTCCCAGTGCTAATATGGTGAATACTGTGATCAGTTAATTAATGGCCTTGAACAATTTGCAATCGATGTGTGTAGAAGATAGTGGCAAATCACCCAATTAGAAACAGACTTCTTGGATAGAAATCTTAGTGAGTGGGATACAGCCCTGGTAAGAAGTCATTAAAAAGAAAATCAATTGTAATGCTGTTTCTCCATTTGAGAACCCTGGTCCT